TACATCGAGGCGAAACCCGTCGAATTATATTTTCCCGGCATCTAAGTAGATTTCTACGAATAGCGGAAAAGTGGAGAACGATCCTCGAGTGCGTCAAAATTCGATTTGTGACACAGTCGTTACTTGAAGAGCAAACTCGATATATCCTGTTTAAAGGCGAGTTTAACACGTAAGATGCAATTTTTCCAGCTCAATAAACCGAGAGTTGTTTTGCATTTGATGTCAGTAATTCGAACTCCTATACGGAAAATCACATTTGCAGTTTCCTCGATTCAGTCAATTAACTTTAAGTAACATCCTTCACACTGAAGGTAGAAATCTAGAATTGGGAAACCAGATCTTATTATCTGAGAAGCGATTTTCCACACTCAGTGACCATATAGAGAAGATATATGGCCATTAAATGCGATAACGTCATTTTTAGAGAGAAATCCAACGAAAACAAATCGGAAATATCGACATCAACCCAATCATTATCAGACCCTGACAGCGTCTGTTTGTCTCGATTTTATCCACCTCGCTAACAAAAAAACAGTTCACAGAAAACAGTTCCACAAATCCCGAAGACAAAAAATATGTTGATATCAGCAACCGCTTACAATAAACCCCAAATAAGGACCGAAATCTTCCATTTACTGGCCGGTATTCATAAAAACTTTGATGGATTTGTCTATGAGTGAGTTTTTTATTGGTTTATTTGCACGTTTAAATTCATAATTGATTGTTTAATGTTAAATGTTAAACGCATTCCATTTACGGTTTCATTAATTTTGCAACAATCTCAACAAGGCATTATTTGCGATGCGTAATGGATTCTAAATAATGCAGTATGGACGTGTTGTTGTTAACAAACTGCCAACAACAACTTGAAAAACATTTAATAAATTAACATGGATGTTCTGTGAAAATTAAAATTTAAAAAAATTGAGAATATTTAAAAGCAGTTTTTTAAGTTGATTATTTGCAAACCTATTTTCTTTCGAAGTAAATGAAATGCTAAAAATCGCAGCAGTCAGGCTGTATAAAACGCGAATACTGTTTCAAAAAGCGCTATAAAAATAGTGAAAAAAACTACAATCAAACGTTATTGATATCGATGAATTAAAATTCAATTTCCTAAGTTCAAGCGTTTTCGGATGGTTTCAGCCGCAACAGCTCAAATCAAAAATATGTACAATTGTTGTTTAACTCACATTTTATACACGCCTTTAAATTATTTGCACCTTATTAACGAACACCTGATACATTTTCCAGATTTCTAATAAAACTTTATGCATTTCAACGGAGAAATGGTGGCTTTATATAACTAGGCATACAATGGGTTTTGAGGACTAGATCTATTATTCAGCTGCAAAGTGTCTACATACGTATATCTGAATAGGTGCGCAATTTTATCCCTGGACTGTAAATTCACTATTTTCTGAAACATTTCATACGAAACACGTGAATGCGATTGAATGTATTTGCGAATTTCTGCGCTAGCAAAATAAAATATTGATCAGTCACTCAGCATCAGCGACTTGAACACATAAACTAGCACTAAATCCCGAACGCAATCTACCTTCTACCATATAAGATGGAAACCAAGTAAATCATATTTTCCGTGTAACGAAAAAGTGTGACAATATGGGCTAAAATTCCAGATGTGACAAAGCCGTTACTTCGAAAACAAGCGCCATACGCTTTCCCATCGAGTTCAAAAACGACTTTAATAAAAGCGATGGATTTTTCGGATGGAGTTGTGGGCTCGGCAACGGTAATTCCGTAATAAGATTTCAGAGGCTCATATTCAAAATTGCCCAGACTCTATTTCCGCTACTTCCCCTTTTGCCAATTCCCTGGGGAAAAGTCCCTTTTTACCTCTTCATGTCGAAGGTGGAACCCTAAATTCAACGAATGATAGCTCGTTAAGTGACAAAGAAATTTCAACACTTGAGTTCAATAAGGGAAGAATATATGGTCACTAAATGCGACAACTTTCCTTTGTATGGAAAAGGGTCGGAAATGTTGACAACGTCCATAGAAAAATACCCGGAAAGTTATGTGTGTGTTGTGCAAAATCGGCAGATTCATCTACATTATTTAACTGAAAGGATGATGGAATCGGAAGAGATATATTCACATTATAAACCATCTACGATCGAGCCACAGTTATTAATGGTCCATACATTTTCCACCAATGCAATATATCGGCCATTTCAAAGGCAGATCCTTTGATTTCCTCTTGTATCCATCGCATATCCACCGACAGAAGGCTTTCGCAAGATTTTTCCAGAGAAATGCTTTTCCAAAGAGTCAATTCTTAATGGAAGGAAAATATATCTTACTTATGTTAATGAAACCAACTAAAAATTGCAATTTAAAAAAATCTTAAAGGTGGAACGTGTCTAATACAAACTGTGCAATGTACCAAAAACTAGTGAAAAGCCTTTGCAAAATGGGTCAAAAGGATAAGGTGTTATGTGCTTCCTTCATTTCATTTTTAATACAGAAAATAAGGCAGAAAAGCGAGTATCTAAAATGTAATATCGGTAAGCGACAAAGAATTTTCGGCACTTAAGTCTATAAAACGAAAAAATATGGCCACTAAATACGACAGAGTTCTTTGCAAGGGATAATCGAATTTAAGAGGGTCAGAAATGTTTACAGCTGCCATTAGAAGGACCAAACAAAAATATTATTGACCTCGACGGTTTTTCAAAGACTGTGTCCAGCAACTTTAGCAAAAAATATTGTCCAAGTTCCAAGGAAGCTGAACTCAAGAAGGCAAATTATTTTACAAAAAATTTGTTATCGAAAGAAAATCCCTAAATAAGGGCCAATTCGCTTTTACGTATTTCTACATCTGGGGCATGTTTTTATGGATAAATATTTATAAAGTCAAACTTTGTAGTCAAGTAGCTTTAGTGACTGCGGCTTACGTCCTAAGAAATTGGGATTTTCAGGATAAATCAGAATAAATAATATTTGTATGCAATTTCACTATTTGCAGAAACTTCCCAATTACGAATTACAGTGGCAAATTAATTTGGGTTTGTTTGATCGATCTTTGTACGCATTTCCAATTAATCGGACCAGCATCGTTAGCGACAACAATGCGGATATAAAAAAATTATTAGTTTTAAACATTGATTGCATTAATTTTAAGTGCGGTGGGGAATTATTAAGCAATCTTAAATAATTCCGATTTGACAAACCCAAATGGCATTCCGAAAATGTTTCTTTTAAAATAATAAACTTTTTCTGAGTTTGTTCAGTTTTGAAGTTTCATTTCGTCAACTATGGTGAAAGCCTCTATTATGAGATCAATATGTCTAACGCGTTAAGTTAAAATTCACGTGATTTCGATGAAAATCTTAGGATTCTCAGAGTGAAGTGGCTTCTACGAACATGAAAAGTTTCAAAATGTTACCTATACTGGTTTCGAATTTAGAAATTTTTGAAGAAGAGTGCATTTATGTTGAAGCTTCCATTTTGAGACCTACGTTTACTCAAAAACGATTAACTCAATATTTGTGGCGATTTTAATTAAAACTTCCCCAGCCCTAAAGGCAAGTGTCTTCTAAGGCCTGCGAAGGTTTTAAGTTGCTACCTGGTCTGGTGAAGAAGTTAGGAAATTTTAAACAGAGCTGCGCATTTGGGTTGAAAATTACAGTTTTAGACCATCACTTCCTAGATTTGAAGCTCAGGCTGGCGGCCGATTTCTATGAAATTTTAACAGCATTTTTAGGGCCAACTGAGACAGTTTCATTTTGCTACTTGCTCTAGTTATTAATTTAAGAATTTTTAAATACGAGTGTATTTATGTTGAATCTTCCATTTTGAGGTCAAAGTTTTCCCAAAAGCGCTTAACTCGTGATTTGTGCCGATTTTCACGCAACCTTCTGCATTCTTAGAGATACTTGTGTTCTAAAAATCGTTTGGAAGTTATGATATTTTTATGAAATTAACGCGTTTGGGTTGAAAATTCCATTTGGTAACCAGTAACCATCCTCAGATTTGCAAATTTTTGGCTTGCCGGCGATTTCCAAGAAAATAGCAACATTTTCAGCCTGTACGGTACTTTTAAAGTATTTCTCCCTTATTCCCACTGTGCTTTTTTGCATTAACTATGCAAAAACTCGTCTATTACAGGGCATTCCCTGAGAATTTTAGTTACTTTTCCAATCCTTCCATGGCCTCTGATTCAAAAAATGTATTCCATTCTTTAGCAACTGCACATTCCACGTTATTTTTTACACCGTTGAAGAAAACGGGCTTTAAATTAGTTAAATTTAAATTAAGATATCTCGAGGAACACCCTGTATAAGTGTAAAATACGTATAATATCAAGCGAATCCCACATCGGCAACAAAACGCGTAAAAACAGAGCGAAGGACGAAAATGAGACGCAGCAAATTTGTTACTGTCTGCTGGTTTTTGCCACGATTTATCTAACATGATGAGGCCATTTTTCATATAAAAAATAAACGACTTCTTGAATAAGTGAATCAAGTCAATGAAACATCATTGTTTTATGAAAATTGTCAATATGAGATGAGTTAAAATGGAGACTTTGGCCAGGGAAACCCAAGTATGGGAATGAAGCATTTGAAATAAAGTTAACGTTTCTGCCCGTGGCGCACTCAAGAATTTAAAAAAAAATGGATAGATAATGATCTAACGGCTTTTTTTCCATTTTCTGCATTGAGCATTGTATGTCGTTATGTCGCTTATGTCCATGCTAGTAGATATAAATTATGGTCGAATGGATCGTACCCAAAGGGACGTGCTCTGTCTGAGAACGTCTAAAAAAGGGATATAGTATCCTGATGCCCCCGAGCGTCCATGCGTCAAGATTTAAAGCGGGAGTTTATGAAAGTTTTTGTCGCCCCATTTATCAAGAGCTTTGGAAGTTGGTATGACGGCCTTACACGGAAGTAATAAAGTACAATAAGAAAGCAAACACTGCTCAAAAGCAGGCCAACAGAAGAACAGTTACATTGAAACCCATAACTCACCTCAGAAAGCTCAGATGCGTCTCAATTTCCGTCCATGCTGTGGAGGCGGCACAAAAGCTGGAACAAGAAATACACATTAATTCTATTAAACAAATTGAAAGCCAAAATTATCTATTTTCCTCCTAGATGCTTTTCAAAAGTTGCATACTTTGGCAAAACCCGCCCGATTTGAACTCATGCCCAAATCGAGATAAATTCAGCCAAATAGCACCTAAAGAGCGCTTTCATACTAATGCAAAAAATACACTGACTAAATAAATACGAAGACGAAAGCATGTAAAAGCGTTTGATGCGATGGGAGTAATATCTTTAACAGCATATAGGGAGAGAGTATTTACTCAATAACTTTCTTTCGCAGAGTTTTTTTTTGGAAGGGCCAAAGAACTCGAAGGTCTCGTCTGACACCGAAAGCTGTTTCATTTTCTGTCGGCAGATGACAAAAGCCTTTTAGCAAATTGATATTGATTGGTTTATTTAGGGTTGCAGGAATATTTGGAAAACGCTATTGTGATCATTTTAATTAACTTTCATCGCACAGTCTGAAACTGACTTCAATCTAGAGGAATTTTGAAACAGCAACCTTTGTGAAACGTAAATCTATCGTATAGTTTCGGATCGTGTGCTGGAAAACACAAATTGAGAGTTTCTATTCCCACGTATGCCCAATTTGGCCTCAAATCGACCACAATGTGCAGTAAAACCGATACGTTTCGCAAGTTTCGCAATGAACCTCAATTGCCGATAAATATATCAACGTCTATAATGATATACTTGAGGGCGGTTCCCGAAGAATGGCCCAAAGTTTCGCCGGCACGAAACGAGACGAAATGAAATTACGGACGAGACGAGACCAGTCCGAGTAAGTTTCGAAAAATAATTTCGTTAGCGGATAATGCAAAAAGTTGTGCCATAGGGAAGTGGAACTAATGTAAGTTATGTTGTAACTACTTTCGCTGTCGGACCTTTGAAGAATGCAAATTTAACTTTCGGCAGCAGGACCTGTTTCTTCAACTCAACTCTGGTTGTAACGTCAGCTAATTAAACCGCCAGAAGGTTAGAGGTGTGACAAACGGTTATTTTTCTGTAACGGGTAAACGTTCCAGTTCCACGTTGGTAATAGGTTTCAAAATGCGGTTCCAAAAAGAACATGTTACTTTTTAAATTTTTCATTAAAAATGGAGAATGATGATGACAGTAGAAATAGTGATGATACATAATGATTTCCTTCATTAAAAACATAACATTGGTAAACTTAAAATAAAATATTCTAAAATCGAAAACAAAACATTAGTCCGTGGTAACTACTTAAAGAACAAAAAAACTGATAGTAAAACTAGAGTGATTAAATAAAATATACGGTTTATATGCAAAAATGTTGTAATTTCAAATAAATTAACATTAAAAAACAATTTTTTTGCCAATGCTTTTTACTGATTCTAGTCTTCGCGCGTTTATGATAGCACCCGCTTTAGAAACTAATATATCCATTTCGTTTCACAATAACATTACATAATCCACAGTAACGGCAACCACTTTTTCAGGTTTGTGAGACGGTTCCAAAAAGAACGGTTTAAGCCGGCAAACGGCTRMAGCTGGATAGATCGCTCGACGGTGCCCGAAGTGCGCACCGCTATTTCGGTTTGATGAGACKGTTCCAAAAAAAACCTGTTAAATMGGCTAGCTGWTACTACGGTTTCAGGTTACGCGTTTGGAACACTATTATTATTTTACGCTACCGTTATTTTAGCGGTTACGTTAAATACCGACCAAAAAAATAAAAAACAAACACAGGAACAGTTCCAAAAGCATCGCTTCTGTATTTGTTTTTACGATAATTTCCTCAAAATGCTCCAAGCTCCTCGAAAGTAACTTTGCCCGTTATTTTCTTGGGTTACCGGCTAGATAAAGTTCAAATTTTCTTGAAAGCAGCAATAACAGTAAATAAAAAGAACACAGAGGAGCGAAAGCAGTGAAAACCCATTAAATTCGTTCTCAAATAAAGTTTTCGATCAAACAAACAAATAACCAATCTGAACGATCTGMCACTGCATCCGACATATACAATATAACTAAATATTTCAATCTAATGGATTTTGRAAAATTCACGCTAGCAACTATTTTCAGCTCGTTCCGTCGAAAGACGGCTCAATAACAGTTTGTTGTGGGCAGAAGTGGAAAGATAGAAAGAAACCTTATGGGTGGAACGGAAACTGAAACAGCTATTTCATTTCTGGCGCTTCCTTTTAGGGCAAAGCAATTTTGGATTCTCCGACTGCAATTCCACTAAACCCGGATAATGCAACTGGTGCAATAAGAAAGTGCATTTATTTTCGCAATTAAATTATATTGGAAATAACATTTTGGGTTCAGCACTGAAAGTCCCGCCTAAAAGGAGATAAAACACCCCAAACCTTAAAGTTTTCTTGGGTGTAAAAGCATTTTCGCCTCATAACTCAACTAAGCATAAAATTTGGTAAATTTTTAATGTCTAAATATGCAAATAAATCACTTCAAAGGACTAATAACTTCCGCAAAATAATCGGTTCGGTTTATACAGTCGAGAGAACGTCCAAGTTTGGGTTTCGCGTTGCACTAATGTAAGCAAATCTCTTTGAATGCTCGAAGATGATTAAAACGGGAGATTTTAATAATCCTCACTCAGAAGCAGGTGTATTATATTAAGTTCTAGCTTTTGTAACGGACCTAATTTTTTGGAAAGCTTTCAAAACATTCATCTCGTCCACAATTTAGCCAAACTTGGCAAGTTTAATTGGAAAGTGAATTTTTGTGCTTTGAAAAGCTTGTTCCCGGTTTGGTTGTTTGTGGCTGAAATTCTACTAAAACTTTACTAAAATAAGTTTCCTGGAAGTAGCAGGTTTAAATTAACGAATGCAAACAAACCGTTTTTGTGAAAACTAAATTATTCCTGCCATTATTTGAATACATATTTTTTAATTAAAGATGGTGAACTTGTGGCTTATAACCGGCGAGTGTGGATCTTGAATCTATAAATTTTCTGCGCCCAAAATCCAACGACAGTAATAAATAATGTGATGTTTGTCTAGCGCGAATTTTACCCGAAGAAACTAGGGCGGTACATTACCTATGTAGAAGCTCTAAATCTTTATGGTGGTTTCCTTTAAGAAAATCCAAAAAATCCAACAACTACATGCATTTACAATATATTGAGCGGGAAATTAATCTCGGTCCAAATCGGGAAATGTTCGCAAATAAATTATGTGGATTAGATTAGCAAATGGGAAATAGAACACTTCTAAATGGCCACCTGTAGATGAGGCAGACGGAAGCGCCTGGAAAATTGATCAAATCCCCACGGTTATGGACAGCAAAATAAATTATTCTTTGTCTAATATCATCAATCTTGAGGTCGCAAACATCAATCTGTCTCAAGAAGGCCCTCAATTTCTGCATGTATCGTTTTTCAAGTTAGTAAAAAATGGGCATTTTGCTTATCAATAAGGACGGTTTTTTACGCATTTTCAAAACATATTCGAACTAAAACCAGGGCAGTTAAAAAAAAGGGCAGGTTTCGTATTCAGCTTGCCAATGCAAATTGTGATGTAATTGTAAACAAATAAACTGTGAAATACTTCATAAAGTCTGGCATATAAAAACTATAGCAATTGACCGACAACATTCTAAATATTTGCTCGATCTTAATTAAGTTCCCATGTAATAAGTAAATATTCGTCGAGCATTCATAAAACATATTGAAAAAATACAAATTACCGAATGTTTACCTGTTTCTATTAATATTTTATTCCGGTTAGATATGATGGAGATAAGACTGATCTTTATAGAACAATCTATCGGCATCATTATGTGTATTAATCAAAAACGTTTCGGTAATCGCTGTTTTATTAGTTATTGGAGTTTTCGTAATTGGAACCGAAATAGTACAGGGCGGTGATTAATTTTAATTAATACGCTCGCTCAATTCGTCAATTGTTACTGGAGAACAAAACTGATTTTATAATTAAACACCATGTTCTAAAGGCGATTAACCAGTTTTAAATTTAAATTTAAAGTGAAGATAAAACTACAGCATATTTTATGCTACTAATTTGCAAAAGAGACTGAGTTTGTAACAGTAGCACGGCATCAATCAAAAAATACCTTCACAAATATTTTGCTGCATTTATGAAAACAAGCTCAATAATTTACATTTGGACTCGTATCTGCAGTCAAATAAAGTGGTAAAGAACGATGAATTGCCGCGGCAATAAATACACTACATTTTCATAAATGTTCGGTATCTTTTTTCATTGAAGGGGGCGTAATATACGTATTTAGTACATACTTTATTGCTTAGTTTCGGAAATTCCCATTCAATGCAATTTTTGCAAAAGGACTCCAAAAAAAATTTAATTTCTTAATATTTCCAAAGCAAAGCAAAGCAATTTCAATACTTTATCTAATTTTAATTGATGTGAAAATGTTAATTGATGAAATCTTTTTTGGAATTTCCGTATATTCTTGACTAATTCACTAAGCACATTCTGTTTTACCCAAAAACTCTTATTTGATTTGTTGAATTTTAGAGCTGTGTTGAAAAAAAAATCTCGGGAGACGCTTGCAAGTTTCCGCGTTGTTTTCCCAGAAAATCTGTTAATAACAATTTAAATAAGTTTTACACTTTGAACAATGTCTCCATAAAAAATGGTTTTTTAGTGCCTTCGTGTGCGTTTCTCGTTTAATTGGCCATCGGCTCAAACGTGACGCCACCTTTTTGCACATATCTCAAGAACTATGCGAGCCACAGGGCTGGTTTTTCTATTTTTGGATGGACAATAATATTGTGAGCAAGGAAATAGAGGCAGTTTTCACGCATAAATCTAATCTCTATAAGATTAGCCCAAATTTTCATGTTTTTCGACAGCTTTTTGCTCGTTCATCAGGAACAGCTTGAGCTGGAACTCTGATTTCTACGCCAATGGATAAAGCACTAAATGGGGGAGGAGTTGAAACATCGCTTGGAACATTTTGGCCTTTTTCTCCAAAAACGAATTCAAAAAGTGTGCGTTTTATATCACTGA